TCGTCGTCGGCGGCGCCAGGACGGTCGGCGTCGGCGTCGGCGTCGTCGACCTCGGCGCCATCATATGCAACGTCGGCGTCGGCGTCGGCGCTTGCGTCGGTGGCCCCGCCGTCGTCATCGTCGTCGGCGCTACCTCGTGACTCTTCATCCCAGGCTGTCCCCGCCCCCTCCGCCCCATCCTTCTCAATTCCTCCCTATCTCTGCCACCCCCCCCGCCTCTCTCTCTCTCTCTCTCTTTCTCCCCCTCCCGTCTTGATGCGCTGTGAGCCCCACCCTTCCTTTCGTCCCTCCTCCTCATTCCTCCTCCCCCTCCTCCTTCCTTCTACCCCTCCTCCTCCTTCCTCCTCCCCCTCCTCCTCCTCCTTCTCCTCCTCTTCCTCCCGCTCCCTCTCCTCCTCGTCCTCCTCCTACTCCTCCACCTCGTCGTCGTCCTCCTCCTCCTCCTCCTTCCGTTCGTCCTTCCTCCTCCTTCCTCCTCCTCCACAACCTCCTCCCCCCCCTCGTCCTTCGCCTGCCAACGACGTCGCCGAGTAGGAGGCGGAGTAAGACGACGCTGGCGCGGGCGGCAGCGGCTCGGGCGACGACGCTCACACTGACGACGACCCCCCGACGCCGCCGATGGCTACAATGACGGCGTCGACGGTGACGGCGGCTGCGATGGCAGCCATGGCGGCGGCGGCGGCCCCGACGACGACGACGACGACAATGACGACGAACGCTACGACGACGACGAGGACGACGACGATGACGACGCCGACGAACACCACGACGGACACCACGACGAACACGACGACTACGAGCACGCAGTCGCCGACGCCGACGCCGCCGACCCCGACTGGGCGCACGTGGGCGGCCCCGCCGTGTCCGCGCGCTGGCGCCGAGCGCCCCCCGTCGCGCGGCGGCTTCGCCGAGGCGCCCCCGCTGCGCGGCGTCGGCGCCCCGCGGCGGAGGCAAAAAGTCGGCGGCCGTCGGTCGTCGGTCGTCGCCGCCGTCGTCGTCCATCCCATCTCGTCGCGCCGTTGCCCCCACATTGGCCCGCCGTTGGCCGCCGTCGTTGGTCACCGTGCCCCGTCGCCGTTGGTCCGCCATTGGTCTTTCGCCGCCGTCGTCGTCCGTCGCTTCTCGTGCGTCGTTTTTTTTCTCTTTCTCCGCCAGCGCCGTCGTCGTGCGTCGTTCGGCATTCATCGGTGTCGCCTTCGTCGTCGTCGTCGCCGGCATCCTCGTTGCGCTCCTTTCCTTTAATTTGTCCTGCCTCGTCTCCCTCGTTTTCGCGCGCTGCGACTGGGCGGGCGCCTCTGCGCGCAGCGCCCCGCCGCCGCCGCAGACGTTTTGGTTCACTAGATCACTCTCCCCAGCGCTCTGCTTCGGGTGTTGCTAGAGGCGTCCCTGGCCCAAGGTGCCTCCAAGATCCCCAGGGGAGGCCCAGATGGCCTCCAGGGCACCCGATCCCGAGGCCCACAGGGCCCGCAGGGGCTGCAACCTGGCGCGAAGAGCTGTGGACAATTGGGGCCAGGACCGCTTCGAGCATCACCCACCCGCTCTACTCCGCTCACCGTACGACAGCACACGCTCGGGTGCTCGGCCGCGGGCCCGTTGCCTACCGCGTTGCCCGTCCAGCTGCCGCACCGGCGGGCGCGGCCGGAGACGGCCGGAGATCGCAGACCGCCGAAGGCCGCCGACCAGCCTTTGCTCCTCCTCCTGCTCCTCCTGCTCCTCCTCCTACTCCTCCTCCTCCTCTTCCTCCTCCTCCTACCCTTGAGTCGGGGTGGCCCCATCTACAGGAGGAACATTCAAATTGATACCGGAGAAAAGCCCCACTCATATTTTCTTTTGGTGGATAGGGCTATGAGGCTATAGGGCTATACGGCTGTAAGGCTATGGGGATATAGGGCTATATTGCTATAGGGCTCTAGGGCTATAGAGCTATAGGGTCATTAGGGCTCTAGGCTATAGGGCTATAGGGCTGTTAGGCTACAGGGTCATTAGGGCTACTAGGGCTATAGGGCTATGGGGCCATAGGGCTATATGGTTATGGGGCTATAAAGCTATGGGGCACCCGGGCACCCGGGCACCCTCGCGTGCCGCCGAAATCGGCGCCGCACCTCACCTAACCATATGAGTCCGCTTGGACCCCTACAGAGGTAAGCTCTGATTGGGGAAATAGTCGAACAATATCTGGGGACGATATTGTGAAGGCCTTACGGCCGGTAACGCCGACCCTGAAGGTTTTGGCCGTCGATGGCGACGGGATGTGTGATCACAGGACGGAGCTAGGACAACGTGACAGAGTAGGCGGAGGGAGTGTTGGAGGAGGAGGAGGAGGAGGAGGAGGAGGAGGAGGAGGAGGGGGAGGAGGAGGGCGAGGAGGGCGAGGAGGATGATGATGATGAGGAGGAGGAGGAGGAGGAGGAGCAGGAGGAGGAGGGGGGAGGAGGAGGAGGAGGGGGGGAGGGGAGGGGGAGGGGGGAGGAGGAGGAGGAGGAGGAGGAGGAGGAGGAGGAGGAGGAGGGAGGAGGAGGAGGGAGGGGGGGAAGGGAGGAGGAGGAGGTGGAGGAGGAGGAGGAGGGGAGGAGTAGGGGGGGAGGAGGAGGAGGAGGAGGAGGAGGAGGAGGAGGAGGAGGAGGAGGAGGAGGCGGAGGAGGAGGAGGAGGAGGAGGAATAATATTACTAGTACTTATAATAGTCATAATACGAATACGAAGAAGCCGAACAAGACGAATAATAATGATAATAATAATCATAATAATACGGATAAGGAAGATAATAAGACGACTCTTAAGAATCATAATACGAATGAAGAGAATATAAAGAATAATAGTAATAATAATGAGAATACGAAGAAGAAGAGGAGGAGGAGAAGGAGGAGGAATCGGAGGAGGAGAAGGAGGATGAGGAGGTGGGATGTGGAGGAGGAGGAGGAGGAGGAGGAGGAGGAGGATGAAGAGGAGGAAGAGACAAGCGAAAAGGAGATGGAGAAGGTGGCAAAAGACGCTCAAGAGGAGGAGGAAGGAGGTGGTATTCTGACCGGGGGTCCCCCCATGACCCCCCCCCCCCGGGACCCCCCCAGGACCGCCCCCGGGACCCCCCCCCAGGACCCCCCCCGGGCCTCCCGGTTCCCCCCCCCGGCCGGGGAAGGGAAGGGAACAAAGGGAAGGGGAAACGCTTGGAGTCAATTTACTTTACGCAGGAGGAAGAGATGAAGGAGGAGGAGGAGGAGGAGGAGGAGGTGGGAAAGGGAGAGAAGACGAGGAAGGAGACGGAACGATAAGGAGACGGAGAAGGAGAACGAGAAGGAACGAGAAGGAGAAGGAGAAGGATACGAAAGGAGGTGGGAAAGGAGGAGGGAGCCGAACGAGAAGGAGACGGAGAAGGTGGGAAAGGGAAGGAGGCACGGACGAGAAGAACAACCCATTCCACACGCCGACGTTCGGCGGATTTTTTGTTGCGTATGTCTGCGAAATTTGTGACTATGTGTTATTTGTCATCCAGAGTCCCCCTGTATGACAGTCCCGACCTTATCCTACGTCTCCTCCTCTTCCTCTTCCTCCTTCTGTTCCTCCTCCTCCGTCTCCTACTCCTACTCCTTGTCCTTCTCCCCTCTCATCTTCCTCCTCCTCCTTTTTCCCTCCTCCTCCTCCTCCTCCTGCTCCTCCCTCTCCTCCGCCTCCTCCTCCTCCTCCTCCTCCTCCTCAATCTTCCCCCTCCTCCTCTGCCTCCTTCTCCTCCTCCGCCTCCTCCTCCTCTTCCTCCTCCTACTCCCCCTTCTCCTCTTACTCTTCCTCCTCATGCTCCTCCTTTTTCCGCCTCCTCCTCCTCCTTCTCCTTCTCCCCCTCCTCCTCCTCATGCTCCTCCTCATCCATTTCCTTCTCCCCCTCCTCCTACTCCTCGTCCTCCTCATCATCCTCATCCTCCTCATGATCATCCTCATCCTCCGCCTTTTCCTTCCCCTCTCCTCCTCCTCCTCCTCCCCCCCTCCTTCTCCTCCTTCTCATCATCATCATCATCATCATCATCACCATCATCATCACCATCATCATCATCATCATCATCATCATCATCATCATCCTCATCATCATCATCATCCTCAGCATCCTCCTCCTCCTCCTCCTCCTCCTCCTCCCCCTCCTCCTTCCTCCTCCTGAGGGGGGCCCGCAGGTCGCCGAATACGGAAGACTGCCGAAGGCCTTCTGGGGAGGGGGCGGTGCGAGGGGCCCCCGGCCGAGCACGATGGGAACTACCTCGGCTGCACGCTTCCACAGACTGGCCCAGCGGCCAGGCTTGCGGAAGGCGCCCGCGTGCCTTCTTTCGCCTTGGCTTGCGCAGCGGGGTGCTGGCCTTATCTGTTTTCCTTTATGTATGCTTGGATTGTATGTGTTTGCTTCTCTCTCTCTCTCTCTCTCCCTCTCTCCTTCTCTCCCTCTCTCTATGTTTGTGTTGTTTTCTCTCTCTCTCTCCCCCTCTCTCTCTCTTTCTCTCTGTCTCTCCTTCCGCCCAAGTGCCATCCATCCACACTCTTCCCTCGGAGTTCGCTTCTTCTCGTCAGCTCGTCGCCCCCCTTTCGGGGTGATGCCTTCTGCTGCACCCCTTGATCCGCTGTCACCTTTCGTCTCTTGTTAGACGCGTACATACTCAGTGAGTTCTCCGTCTTCTGTTCCAACCATCATGTGGTAGTGGGTTCTCTCTTCGAAGAGAGAGCGCCCTGCTTCACCTTCCACCTCCCTTCTCTTTCCTCCCATCCCTGCCTTTGCCCTCCGCGTGTCCATTTCGGGACACCCCTCACACGTTTCGTGACCCCATAGGGAGCTCCAACTGAGGCCCCAGGGGGGCGGTGCCGCATGCGGTCACCCAGCAATTTCAGCACACCTCTCACACGGTCCTTGGCCCCATTTGGCGGTCCAATTGAGGCCTCCGGGGGGGGACCACATGCCCCATAGGGAGCTCCAACTAATCCCTCAGGGACGGAGGGGACCACATGCGGTCCCGCAGCCATTTCGGCGCACCCCTCAGACGTTTCGTGGCCCCACAGGGATCTCCGACTGAGGCCCAGTGGCGCAGCTCGCATACGTCGCCACTCTCATTTCGGCACACACGCATCACATGCTTCGCGGCGCCATGGGGAGCTCCACCGAAGGCCCGAGTGGCAGCGACCGCATGCGTCCCCAGGCCCATAACGGCACACCCCTCACTTTTTTTCGTGGCCCCATCGGGAGCCCCACCGAATGCCCCAATGGCAGCGTCCGCATGCGTCCCCAACGCCCACTCTGGCACACCCCTCAAACGCTTCGTGGCCTCATAGGGACCTCCCCCGAAGGCCTCAATGGCAGCGCCCGCATGCGCCCCCAAGCCTTTTCCGGCACACCTCTCACACGTTTCGTGGCCCCCCGGGAAGTCCACTGAAGGCGATATTCAGAAGTGTGGTGCCCACAACTGCATGTGGTTGGGTCTTGTGGTTGGGTCCTCCGCCAGGAAGATGTTTGTCTGTCGGGCCCTTCGGAGTGGCACTCTCTCGCCTGCCTCCGCCAGCCGCGCACTCTGCTCGGCTGGGAACGGCGCGCCCCCCGCCTCCGTGCTGGCCCGCACTCCGGGCTGCAGCGCGGGGCTCGGTCTGGAGAGTTCCTGGCCTGTCCGCCGGCGCTCTGCTGGCGCACCTCCCTTCGGTGCTGGGCTGGTGGTCGGTGGAGCGCTCGATGGGGGGAGGTGGTGCGAAGTCTTGGGTCGGGGCGGGGATCCCATCCCTTCGGGCCCTGAGGTCTCCAGAGGTGTCCAGAGCTCCCTGGAGGCCCCAGGGGCCTCCCAAGAGGCCTCCTTGGTGAGGAGCAGTGAGGGCCAGAAACGCGCAACATCCACCCCTCCTAGAGGATCGATGGGCCTTCCGCCTCCTGGCCTTCCCTCGGAGGAGCCCGCGGCGCGCCTGCTCGGCAAGCGGTGAGCCCGGCCGCGCCTCGAGCCTCGCGGACTTCCTGCTGCCCCTCGGCCGTGCGCTCGCTCGCTCGCGCGCGCCCCTCCTCGCAGGCCTGGCCTGTGCCCACATCCGTTCCTCGGTGGGGATCGCACACGCGCCTCGCCCTCGTCGCCGTGGGCGTCGTCCTGATCGTGGTGCGCGCTGCACTGCTGCGTGCAGCAGTTGCCACCACCACCGCCACCTTCACCAACACCACCACCGCCACCACCACCACCGCCACCACCACCACCACCACCACCACCACCATCACCACCACCACCACCACCACCACCACCACCACCACCTTCACCTGCACCACCACCTCCACCACCACCACCTCCACCACCGCCACCACCACCACCTTCACCTCCACCACCGCCATCTTCACCGCCACCACCACCACCTTCGCCCGCGGAGTTGCCGGGGTCGGGCGCGCCCCGCGGCGGTCGGGGCAGCGAGCCTCGCGGGGGGCACCCTCGGAGGGGCGCCCTCGCCGAGCCCTCGGGCTCGCCTCCGCTGCCTCTGCGGGCGGCCCCGCCCGCCTCGGCCTGCATCGCTCGCTCCCCCTCCTCCTGCGCCTCCCCCTCCGGCTGCTGCTCCTCGCCACGTTGGTCTCCTCCAGCTTTGCTTCCCGCCGCTTCCGATCGCTCGGGGGCTCCCAAACGGGGTGGTGACCACACCGTGTGGTGAGTCGGTGGGGATTCGGGGTCACCGCACGGTGTTGGGACTTGGGCCGTTCTCCGAGGATGTCTCGGGCGCCTGGAACCTCGCCTCCAGGGTCCCAAAACCGTGTGGCGACGGACCGTGCGGCGAGGTCTTTGCGGATTTCGAGGTCACCGCCGGGTCTGTCACCACACGGTTTCGGGACACCCCACGATCGCTTCCCCTCCGATTCGACCAACACCAAGAAGCCACTGAAAAAAGAAAGCATTGCAGCCTCTGTTGCCTGCCGTCTCCAAGCGCGAGCTCCGAGCGCGTGGGAACACAACGGGCCGTCTCCAATTCCCCGAGTGAGCGTTCGGCTTCCCCTTCGATTCGCCGTCGCACTCCGAGGGGGGCGCCGACCTCTCAATATGTGGAGGCCCTGCCGGCCTGCCGAGTCGCCTGCCGAGTCGCCCGCCGCGGCGCGCCCGCCCTCCCAGGGGGGTGGCGGCTGGCGGGCGGAGGCCGGGCCGGCGCCCTCTCCGCCGGAGGCGGGCGCCGCCTAGGAGAGGTCCACGTGTGTCTGGACGTGCGCCAGAGCCCAGGGGGCTCGCCGGGAGCCCCAGCAAGATTTGGCAATTTGGGGTTACGGGCCCCTGACACAAAGACTCCCAGGAGCGCCCAGGATTCGGCAGAGGACCTGCGGACGCGCCCACGCCGTGCCCAGCGGAACAGTGGCGGACCGTTGTGCAGTTGAGTTTGATTCGTAGGTCGATCCTGCCCGAAGAAGGGCACTCCAGATTTCGTAATAAAGGGAGGGGGGTCTCATTACGGGGGGGGTCTCTTCCAGGCCATCCTGGAGGGCCTGGGGGGGTCCGGGGGCGGTGTTTTGGAGGGTTCTCCCACGGGGGAGGTCTGAAATGGCTTGTCTTGGAGGGTCCAGACCCCCTCCCTTTTATTAAAGGCTGCCGCCTCTGCCGCCGACCCCAAATAAATGCATGTATTGTTTGTGCGTTGCGTCGGTTGGGGGGAGACCTCCCTCTCCCAAATCCCTCGTACTGGGCTCCTGGGGGAAGGGGTTGCTGAGGTGGCATCATTTCACACGCCGACGGAGTTCAGGAGGAATCTTGGGCCTTCTTGGAGCCGTCTTGAGGTCGCAGAAGCCTGTCGTCATGCGATCTTGGAGTCTTTCGGAGGTTTTCGTTTGCTATCTTGAGCCATGTTGTGCTTCCTTGAGCCATCTTGGACGTCATCCTGGGCTGGGGTTCATCTTGGGCTCGCTGAGGCCCTCTTGGAGCCATGTTGGGTCCTCTTAGGCGCCCCATCCCTCGCGACGCGCGCCGAAGGGCTAAACTCGTCCCCGAAGGGGAAGCGGGCGGTTGCCAAAGGAATCTCTCGAAACCACTTACGCTCAAAGGGGCTTGAGGGACCACCTGTGGGCTTGGTCGGGGCTTCTTTGGGATGCTCCTTGGGGGCTTATTCGGGCCCTGCTCTGGGCCGGTTCGGGGGACAATCGAGCAGAGAAAAGGCTGGGCTCGAGTAAGCCCTCCCCTTGTCGGAGCCCCCGAATCCCTTGCCTTAGAACTTCTCTCCCTCTCCTTCGCCCGCCCCTTCCTGGAGATCTTCGGAAGTCCATCGAGCAGGTTCGGGGGGCGTCCAGGCACCGTCGAAGCAAAAATCTGAGGGCGCCGGGGCGGCGACGCGAGGTGGTCATCATGAGAATGTAGGGCCTCTGACAGGGATCGGCCTCTCAAAGTACACGCCTTTCCAGAGACCCAGGGCGTTTTCTAGAAGGCTCCCCCGCGCCCCGCGCCCCCTGCCATTGGCATCAGACGTCGTGCGGGAATCGGAGCGTCGTGGGGAAATCACGGCGGGACAGGATGCAGCGACGGCGCAGAATGCGCTGGTCGATGCGCAGGCGACGGGGTCGGCGCAGCCGCTGACGCCGTGAGCGACGGGGCAATGGGCGTAGACGGAGAGGCGTGGGGCGCGGGAGGGTGTGGAGATGGCGCGGTGTGCGCGGGGGAATGCGGGGGGGAAGGCATGGGCGGCGCAGGCCTTCGGCCACATCGTGAAAACGAGAACAAAGGGAAAAGCGTGGACAAGGCGGGAGCACGTTCGTCAAGAAGCGATGTTGGAAGTGAAGACGTGGTGCCCGGCAAGGCGCGCGGCCCCGAGGATGCGACGACGAATTCAGAAGGCACTTTGCCCGTTGCGGATTCGATGCAAGAGGCCTTTTATCAAGTCCGGGTAGACGCGGCGTCGACAGATCTTCACCGAGCCCGAGAGCGTCTCGTGGCCGCCGCCGCTGCGCGTGTGCGACGTCACTCGACAGTGCCCGCAGACCCGCAAGATCCATCGCAACCGTGGGCGAAGGCGCTGGCAGAGGACATGGCCGTCGAATTGCAAAGGGTCCATTGCGCGTTCTCCGCGTGTACTTGGCGCTTGGAAGTTGTCGACGAGTTGCATGAACACGTGGCCGAGGAACATTGGGATATCGCGCTGCCCATCGCCGAGATTGTGAATCCCTCGGGCGAGGAGGAAAGGCTCCGAGTGGAGGCAGCGTACCACGAGATCGTCGGAAGCGCCAGTCGAAAGGGTGCGCCATTGTCCGCACATTCCCTCCACAGGCGAAGCTTCAAACAGTACGCGAAGGGGGCGGCGCGGAAGAACAGAGCATCCCCGATATGTTTCATTTGCGCGTGCACGTTTCCATGGGTGCGGGGTCGGCGCGGCAATCAAATCGACTGGGAGCGAGTGTTCAAGACCAGCACTGGAGACCATGCGACAGTGAGCGAGGTCGGAGCGTGGGCCATTGCAGAGGTGCGAGCGCGCATGGGCGTAGAAGCATACCTGGGGGATTATGGGTCGGAGCCTGGCAACCTGGCGCTGGACTTAGAGCGTGCATGGGAGAATGGAGAGTTCGATAATTGGTTCGTGACAATTCCAACGGCCAACGGCGATGTGAACATGTTGTGTTGCCCGGAAGACCAGGAGTGCGTGAATGGGTGTGAAGGTAGGTGGTCAGCTTCTGCTGACTGCTGGGTGCCAATATGCGTCGAATACAAAACAGACATGGAACAGTCGAGATCTCGCGGGCCGGCAACTCTTCGGTCAGTCCCACGGTGGAGTCTTGCGAATGACTTCATGCCAGATCGCATGCACACCGAAGGCATGACAGTCATGGAGATGAATTGTGCAGGCCCTGTATCACGTGGATGATCTGTTTTTCGTCGGAGGTGAAATGTCAGAGCGACGCGGAGGAAAAGCCGCGGAAGGAGGAATTATGTGACAGCGCGGTGGGCTTTCACGACGGCTGGTTGGCGGCGCGGGGAAACGCGACGAGCGTCATGTTGCCGCGGCAAGGGGCGCTCCAGGAGCTGCGGCAGGTTGAAAAAGAAGAGCGGCGTGGGAACGAATCAACAGTTCCTCATGTAGGGGGAAAGTTGGGATCCGTTGTTCAGATTCTGTTGGAAATTAAAGACGCGACTACGAAAGACAGTCTGCCTCGATTCATACATCAAGCGAACGTTCGGCGAGATGTAGTTAAGCTACACAGCAAAATGATGGAACAAAACGAGGCTTTCGGGTTTACGCACATGTAGACCTGGAAGCCATGGAACAGAAAGCGGAACAATTACAGAAGGGCGGGGTGCCGCCAGAGATTGTGCGGCTACTGCCGCGCGACGCGACGCTGGACAAGCTCATGGTGCAGAAGAATGCTACGCCGTGTGATGGAGCTCGGGACTCCGTAGGGGCCGCGGCACGTGACATCGGACTGCGAACGCCGAATGCCGTAGCGATGGAGAAGTCTTCAGTCGACGAAGTGGATCACAACAAACTGCGCGCGGGTGCTTTTGCGAACCTTGCGGGAAAAGCGCGGCGAGGCCCTGGTGCGGTGGCGGTGGGCGCGGGCCTCTGCGATCCTTCGGTGTATAGTGTTGACGAAGAGCGGAGTTTTATTCTGCGCGTGGCGAGCGCATGGCTTCCGAGATGCGATAGGCTCGAATGCCCGTGCGGCGGGCACGGTGCCGCGCGCGCTCTGGTGAGAACGAGCAGAGCGGACGAGAGAGCGGCGAGCGCAGACATGGACACGGTGCAGTACCGACTGTGGGAACTCATGGACCCGGATCTAGTCCGTGTCAAGTGCGTCATGTACCTGGGAAGAGAGCGGCCTTCTGCAAAGAATGCTTGGTGGAAATGACTAGCGCAAACGAGAAGTGGTGCAAAACATGCAATACATGGGCAACCGCAGCGGAGCGAGACGACGTCGCGCTGCGCGATGGCGACAGGGGCATCGCGGAATTGGACGAAGCAGAGGAAACACAAAAGGTTAGGACCATGTACTGCGCGAAGTGCAAGGACATCACAGCGAAACGCATGTCGCGCAATGGGAACGCAATGTGGAGGGAAACAAAAGTGCACGGCGCGGTGTTCGAACCAAACGTGCCTGTCGCTTTTCGACGAGAAGGCGGACAGGTCAGAAGCGCAGAAGAGACGTCGCGCGTCCGGGGAGAGGCTGTGTCGGGGATGCGCGGAGGCCACAGAGAAGGCAGCGCGGAGCACACATGAAGAGGCGGCGAACCGCAAGAGAAAAGCAGAAGCGGGGGCGCAGGCGTTTACGCGTTGCGCTCCTGGTTGTGGCAAAATCTTCTGGGCGACGGAGCACTTGTCAACGAATCAAAAGGAGCACCACCGGAAGTCTGAAAGTAAGCGGGCGGTGTGCGGAATCTGTTGCGAGCCGGGCGTCACGGCGCCCCTTGGGGCGGAAGGCTGGATTTTTCAGTTCGTGGTCTCCGTCAGGAGCCTTTCGTGGGCTTGTGTCGGGAGCTTCTTGGGTTGTCTCGGGCGGCTCTTGGGCAGTCTGGGAGCTCTGTTGGGCCGTCTAGGCCCTTCTGGGCCGTTCTGGGGGCGTCGTGGAAGGCCTCTTGGGTTGTCTTGGAGCTGTCTTGGGAGTTTTTGGGCGGTGTTGGAGCGTCGGAAAGCCGAAAAGGCGAAAATGCAAAAAAACATTGCAAACCGAATGAAAATCAGCGATGTTTGCCTCTTGGCGCCCTCTTTGGAGGCCTCTTGGAGGTCTTTTGAGACATCTTGGAGGTATCTTGGGGAGTCTTGGAGGCCTCTTGGGGCTTTTTGGAGGTCTCTTGGGGCGTCTAGGCGGCCTCTTGGGGCGTCTTGGAGGCCTCTTGGGCCGTTTGGGAGGCGTCAAAGAGCCTCTTGGGCCGTCTTGTGCGGGCCTTGGGCCGTCTGGGAGCTCTTTTTGGGCCGTCTGGGGGTTCTCTTGGGCCGTCTTGGGGGCGTCGTGGAAGGTGTTTGGGCGTCTGGGAGCGGTCTTGGGAGCTCTTTGGGCGATCTTGGAGCGTTGGAGCGTCGGCAAGCCGAACAGGCGAAAATGCCAAAACCATCGAGAAACCAATGAAAAACAACGATTTTGGGCTCTTGGGGCTTTCTTTGGAGGCCACTCCGAGGTCTCTTGGGGCGTCTGGGAGGTTTCTTTGGGCGTCTGGTAAGCCTATTGGGGTCTCTTGGAGGCCTCTTGGGGCGTCTAAGCGGCCTCTTTGGGGCGACTAAGAGGTCTGGGAGGCGTCAAGGAGCCTCTTGGGCTGTCTTGGGCGGCTCTTGGGCCGTCTGGATAGTCCTTTTGGGCCGGTCTGGGGGCTCTCTTGGGCCGTCTTGGGGGCGTCGCGGAAGGCCTCTTGGGCGGTCTTGGGGCGGTCTTGGGGGTTTCTTGGGCGGTCTTGGAGCGTCGGAAAGCCGACCAGGCGAAAATGCCAAAAACAGTGGAAAAAAACAATGAAAATCAACGATTTTGGCTCTTGGGGCTTTCTTTGGAGGCCTCTTGGAGGTCTTTTGGGGCGTCTTGGAGGTCTCTTGGGGCGTCTTGGAGGGTTATTTGGGCCGATTGGAGGTTTCTTGGGGCGTCTCGGCGGCCTCTTGGGGCGTCTTCGAGGCCCCTTCGACCGTCTGGGAGGCGTCAAGGATCCTCTTGGGCCGTCTTGGGCGGCTCTTGGGCCGTCTGGGAGCCTTTTTTGGCCGTCTGGGAGCTCTCTTGGGCCGTCTTGGGGGCGTCGTGGAAGGTTTTTTGTCCGTTTTGGAGCGGTTTTGGGAGCTTCTTGGGCGGTCTTGGAGCGTCGGAAAGCCGAACATGCGAAAATGCCAAAAACATTGAACAATTATTGAGAAAACAACGATTTTGGCCTCTTGGGGCCTTCTTTGGAGGCCTCTTGGAGGTCTCTTGGTGCGTCTTGGAGGTCTCTGGGGGCGTCTTGGAGGCCTTTTGGGGCCTCTTGGAGGCCTCTTGCGGCGTTTAGGCGGCCTCTTGGGGCGTCTTGGAGGTCTGGGAGGCGTCAGGGAGCCTCTTGGGCCGTCTCGGGCGGCTCTTGGGCCGTCTGGGTAGGCCTTTTGGGCCGTTTGGGGGCCCTCGTTTTTGGAGCTTCTTGGGCGGTCTTGGAGCGTCGGAAAGGCGAAAAGGCGAAAATGCAAAAAACATTGACAAAACAATGCAAATCAACGATTTTGGCTTCTTGGGGCTCTCTTTGGAGGCCTCTTGGAGGTCTTTTGAGGTGTTTTGGAGGTCTCTTGGGGCGTCTTGGAGACTTCTTGGGGCTTCTTGGAAGCCTTTTGAGACGTCAGGCGGCCTCTTGGGGCGTTTTGGAGGCCTCTTGGCCCGTCTGGGAGGCGTCAAGGAGCCACTTGGGCCGTCCCTGGCGGACAGTATCTTTCAGCTGTTGGCCCGTTTGGGATGGTGTGACCAGGCGTTGGCGTCTGACGAGGGGCGCCGTGTCGCTAGCCAGGCGTGTATGGATCATCTGCGGACCGTCGGAGATATATGGTTGGCGTTGGGGTCGCATGACGGTGAGCTCCGACACGGCGTGCATGCTGGTGAGATCATGAGATTCGCGTTGGCCCGGTACGGCACGGCTGGAATAGCGCTGCCCTGCCAGATCATCCTGCACACGTACTCCCGCTTTGAAGGGCTCCTTGGGGCGAACGGAGAGGGAGTTTCAATGTCGTTTACCCGAGCAGAACTCGAGGGGGATGGGCCCGCGCTCGGTGCATGGCCGTGCGAGGAGGAGGTGCGCGCTGAGGGCGAGGTTGCCGTAGTCGAGGTATACAATGAAACCGGGGCGGACATTGCAAGCACGACATACAAACCTGCATGGCAAAGCGTGGCGCAGGACTCGCCGGTGGCCGCGCCTAACAAGACGAGTGCCCAAGCCGGAAACGGAAGCGGGGACAATGTAAAGCAGACGGAGGTCACCGAAGCCGACACGAAGGCGAAGCGACCGCGAATCACAGGGAAGACGAAGCGCGGTGACGCCGCAGGGCCAGGGGCCGGCGGCCCAACCGACACAGGCGGTACAGCGGTGCCAACGCACACCACGTCGAGCACCGGCGCTACCCCAGCGGGTGACGGCGAGGGCCATGCAGACGCGCCTGGACACGCGTATCGGGTCCGCGCTGCAAAAGTGTCGGACGACCCGCGACGGAAAAGGGAGGAGGATTTGGAGAGAGTTGCGACAGAGCACTTGAAGGGCGCACCCACGTTGCCCGCTGTCTCGGCGAATGGGGCTGCCTTATGTGGCGGAGTCTCGACATCGGTAGGAGCAGTAGAATTGCCGAGGAAACACTGCGCCTTGAAACGTTGGTGGGGGGGGCGACTGGACGCCTTGCCTCTGGCATGGAGATTCGGATGCAGATCTGTGCGCGCACCTGCTGCAGGAGCATCGGGCGCAGCTCGAGGATATCGCAGCTTCGCTGGTTTGCGTGTCTGCCGAGGAAGAGAAGAGCGAAGAGTTGCGTTACTTGTCCGCGTACAACGAGGTCGTGGCATGGAAGGTCCGTCAAGGAGCTCCTCTCGCCGCACTTGCCATTGACCGGCGATGTCTCCGTGCATATGCGGAGGCGCTGGGAGACGAGTCAGTTTGTTCTCTGATATGCATGCTGTGTGCGCGGAAATTTCCTCACGTGGAAGGGCGCCGTGGGAATCCAATCACTTGGCAGAAGGTGTCGCCGGATTCGGATGGCGTCTTCGGACTGCCTGGCTCGTTTGTCAGAAAGCACATGTCCGTGGACAGCTATGTGGGTCGATGCGGTCAGGTCGGAAGCGACGTGCATCTGCGGCATTACGCGGAGGACTTTGAAGATTGGCAAGCAACGATCGCGTCGGGCGATGGACACATGAAGGTGTTGTGTTGCCCCGAAGATCTGCGCTGCAGCACGGAATCGTGGCACGAAGGGAACGAGGTATGCGATCGTTGCGAGGCGCCGCTGTGCGAGGAATGCCGAACGGGTATGTCTGGCCCGAGAGGCGAGGCGGCGGTGCCCCCTGCAGCTCTCGCTAATGACATGATGACGTTCTACTCACCGGAAGAGCTGTTCGCAGGAAACGTAACGCTGCTCGAGATGATTTGTGCGTCCGTGTGCGTGACCTCGATGGTATGTTTCACCCTGGAGAAGCGGCATCGCAACGAACGATCTTTTGACATGGAGGCGGGGAACAACACGCGTCGTATGGCTGCTCGCGGGAACGCGACGTCCTTCCCGATGCCGTGGACGGACATGCTCGCGCAGCTGACCGCCTTGGAGGAAGGGGCGTCGAAGGTAAGGCCGCCGTCGGTGCCGCGGACAGGCAAAGAACTGGCCGACATAGTGTCGGTGATATTGAAGTCCGGAGGAGACGACGATGCGGCAGCGAGCATGGCGAAGTTTATACATCAGGCAGTCGTCCGTCGGGATGTGGTCGTAAAGCTGATCGAGGGGGCGAAGAAGCGTGGGCGCCGAGCGTATCAGCACGTTTGCATGGAAGAGGTGCGAAAAAAAGCTGCGGAGCTGCCTGATGGTGAGGTGCCGCCCGAGATCATGCGTTTGGTGCCTTTGGACAACGAGCTGGACAATATTCAGACGCAGAAGGCGGCGACGCCAGTTCCGCGCCCGGATGGGTTGCAGGAAGCGGCGGAGATCTTGGAAACGACGAAAGGCAACGCCGTGGTTCTGGAGAAGAGCAGCTTCGATGACGGGGATATCAATGCCCAGCGTGTGGAAGCCTTACGAAGTTTTGTACAGAGGGTGTCGCCAGAATGCGAACACGATGGAACCAGGGAGCGCACAGATCACAGCGAGAGTGAGTCGGAGCATGAAGGTACCCGAGCGAAGCGCCCGCGCGAAGGCGGGCGAGAAACGGAGCCCGACTTCGCGCCGGCGAAGGAGAGGGGAGAGGCGAGATTGTTGACAGAGGCGCTGGAGAGGAACGAACGAGTGGATCGTTTGCGGGTATGTACTGGGAACACAATGGTGGATCAATTCGAACCGTGGTATTTCGGCGTAGCGTTTGCGTTCATTTTCAAGTATTGCACAGGCATGCCCGACATGCCGGCCTTCTTGAAGCGTCCGCGGTATCGGCGTTCGGGAGAGGCCCCGCGGGTGGAGTTGCCGCTGTGGGTTCGCATCATGAGTCGTCGCGTAGAGAGCCAGTTGTCGCGCGATTGGCATTTCGGGTTCGTGTCGTGGAACTTGGTATTTCGTTCAGCGGTGAACCTGAGCAGGACGTGGTTTACGTACGTATCCGCGAACCCGAAGGACGTGGATGCGCAAATCACACCCGAGGAGATCAGCGAAGGGGCGAAGCAGATCTACCGTGCATTGGCGGGAAAATACCAGGACGTGAACGGTAAGAAGCAGAAAGTGATGGGAGACATGACGAAAGTGCGCTACGTCCCGGGACTCGGCAGAGCGGCCCACAGGTTGCTCGCGAACATCGAGCACACGTCTCGGCGGTTACCAGGGACGCAAGAGACACGACGGGTCATGCGGTTCGAAACCAACGCTCTCCGCGTTCGGTACGGCGTACCGATCTTTGTGACTTTTTCTCCGGACGAAGGGCACAGTCTCCTCATGGTACGGTTGTCGCGCACGCGACGTCGTGACCCCGTCCACAATGCGGTGAGCGATGCGGCAGCGTCACGGGCAGCTGGTAGTCGAGAGTGGCCGCAGGTCGCTCCAAAGACTGACGATGTGCGCCTGGAACTACCGCTGGCGGCGATCATGTCGCAAGTGCCTGCGTGGGCGGAGCGCAGGAAGATACTCGCGCGGGATCCGATGGCGAGCGTGGAAGGTTTCCGTGTGATTGTGGACGCGACGATGCGGCATCTTTTCGGATTGCGCAGCTGTCCGAACTGCCCGGGATGCAACCATGGCGAGCGAATGTCGCCGCGCCAGGATTTGTTCGGCAGCAACGCCTCGCCGGAAGGCGGGGTGTTCGGCAGGGTGGACGCTTGCTATGTCTCCATCGAAGCGCAAAAGTCGACGGGCGCGCTCCACGCGCACTGTCAGGTGTTCGTACAGTGTCTGCACCAGCACACGCCGCTGGACAAAATCTTCGAACTCGCCCGGAACAATGCGGACGGATGGGGGCGGGCGTTCGTGAAGGAGTCGTTGGAGTACAAGCGCCGGGTTTGCCGGCAGGAGTACTCCGCGCGCGTGACCCCAGACGGTCTGAATAGGAATCTGGCGGGGGCAGAAGCCGCGTGGCCAGAATGCAAAAATGAGTTTGGGCTGGTGTGCCGTCCGACGTAGCAGACTCGCAGGGCGGGGCAGGGAGTGACGCAGCTGGAAGAGGCGGAGGAAGCGCGCGCTTGGGAGAGCAGGTACCTCGACGGGGACGTGCAGTACCTTCAAGAGCGGAAGCAGCACCACGTGCATCTTGAGAACCCAGAGACGGGGGAGAGGGTGCCCTTGCCAGCGTGTCGTCGGAAGGACAACCCGAAGCTCTGTAAGGCCGATTTCCCGCGAACGGCGCAGCTCATCGACCATCCGGTTGTGATCTGCCCAGGGCTGGCGACGCAGCTGGATATGCCAAAGGCAGGGAGGCGGAACCGCGTCGGGAGTTTGCATGGGCCCATGAACCATGAGAGTCTGAATGGGACACACCCTTGCATGCTTGCCGCGCAACGTTTCAATTCGGACGTGCAGCTGCCGTACAGGTTGCCGATCACAAGCGAGAGCTGCACGTGCGGCAAAGGGTGTTCGGAGAAGCATACCGACGCAGCCATCATCAAGGTGGTCCAGATGGCTCAGGACGCCCAGGCAGGGTACGCGTGCGATTATTGCACGAAGCGGCAGCCCATGGCGTTCCATGAAGTCCGCGAGTGCTCCAAAGGCATCGAGAAGCTCAGCCGACAGCTTCGCGGGGAGAATGCGAACTATGTCGGCAAGCGGATGACGACGCGCATCATGAGCGACGCCTACGGTAAGGGCATCGTTCGCGGCCAGGTGGAGTGTGCGAATCTTCGAGCGTATGCCAAGGATAACGATGTGACGTCGGCAGAGTCGATCAAGACTTGTGAGACGACGTGTTTCTACGGGCGCGAGTACGTCGAGACGGTTGAGAGGCTGTCCGATGGCACAACAGGAGGGCGCAAAGCGCAGTTTGCGGAGATGGATATGCGAAACCCGTGGCGCCGGAAAGTCACTATCAGGGATGTGGCCATGTTGTACGGACATCGCCCGAGGCGGGAGGGCCTGTGGCACTTGTCGCCGTGCGAATTTGCTACGTATTGGAGGCCCGTGCTCGTGGCGTACCCTACCAGTATAAGGGACGCGAAAGCCGATCGGGACAGGCACCACGCGTTCTTGACAGCGGAAGGGGAGCAGAAAGTGAAGGAGTGGGGTCGGAAGCAGGAGCAGGCGGAAGAGCTTGTGCCTGGGGTTGACTACATGGTGAAGGGCGACGCAGGAAAAGATTGGGTTGCCTTTCCAGACACGGACGGATGCCGTCATCTGCGGCACACGTGGGTTCTGGTCAGAAACAAGAGGCCTTTGGCGCCAACATTTTTCGGGGCTCCGGTGCCTCGTAGCCGAAATGGGGAAGCTGAGCGATCCGCGCGGATAGTCATGTCCTACTTCCATCCATGGACGCTGCGACAGTCAGAGGCAGACGACCACGTTGTGTTTGCAGGCGGACTGCGCCGGGGCGCGAAAACGTGGGTGGACGCCATGGTGTCGTGGTTGGACGGCGGCGTGCAGTCGGAAGAGGCTGCGCGGTACGTGGGCAATTTCCTCAGCGTGTATCGCTTGCGCCCGAGGGATGCGGAGCACGAGGACGCGCGGAGTGATGAGGACGTGAGCGACGAAGAATTGGAGGTTGGATTCGGCCAGCTGGACGAGGCTCTGAAGTCACGCGTCGGTGGTCGGAAGCGAGAAGATGGAGACGGTGACAGCAGTAGTGGAGAAGAAGACGGTGGGCCGGAGGGTGGACTGGGTGGATGTTCCCACTGCGCAAACTCGAAAGCAGGCATGGCCGTGGCACAGGAAGTGCGGGGTCAGCGCCCGAGTGAAAAGCCGCTCAGTGAGGTCCGGAGCGCGTGGCCGAGAGCGGTCAACTGCGATCTGGAAGGCGTGCGGGCCGCAGCAAGGGCGTCGCGCAACAAGGAGAAGTCAATGGCCGACAGAGTGGCGGCGGAAGAAAGAAGTGGGATGGTGCAGGCGCAGGCAGGGGTGACATCAGGCCAGGTGGCCGAGTGGCTCAGGAAGCTGGAGTTGAGGACTGACAAAGACACAGGCCGGCGCGTTGTCAACGCGAAGCAGTTCGAAATGGTGAAGCAGGTAGCAGAGAGGGCGATGCAAGAGCTGGACGGGGAGGCACGAGGGGGCGCGGGCATGGGTGACCCGCTGCGTTGGTGCATGCACGGAGGGCCCGGCACAGGGAAATCGCACGTGCTGCGCATTCTGCGGAAGGAGCTGTTCGAAGACATCATGAAATGGACGATTGGCGTCCATTTTCAGATCACGGCCTTTCAGGCAGTTATGGCGCAGCTGCTCGGTGGAGACACCATACATCACGCATGCGGTATTCCCGCCGTGAAACGCGGCGACGACAAAGGTGAAGATGTGAAACTTCAGTACGACACAGCGAAGCGAGTCCTGCAGTGGAGGTGGTTGTTCATCGACGAGATCAGCATGGTCAGCGCCCGGCTGCTCGCCGAAGTAGACCAGAAGCTTCGCAGCGTCATTCGGGACGTGGGCACCCAGAAGCGCGGGGAAGACGGAGTGCCGCGGCCCTTCGGCGGCTTGAACGTCGTGCTGAGCGGAGATTTTTGGCAGCTGGCACCTCCGGACGGAGGGTTCCTTGCAGACGTGCCAACAGAGCGCATCGCGGAGGCTCGGAAGTATACCTCGCTCCCGCCAGTGCTACATGGGCAAGCTCTCCTGTGGGGTGGTGGTCAAGAGGGCGTGCAGGGAGTAACAGAGCTAGTGGAGTGTGAGCGCTGCGACGACGCCTGGCTGAAATCCGTGCAAGAGGAGTTCCGCAGAGGAGCGCTTACGGCAGACACGCATGCCTTTTTGCACGGGCGTGATACTGGAGTCCCGGGGAGTTGGCTCCATGGTCAGGTGGGATGTGGGAACTCGAGATGTCAGGCTTTGAGTGTCGGCGCAGGGGTCTCGGGGGAGGCAGCCGTCGGAGCACGCCGTCAGCGATCAGTGACCCTGAAAGACATCCGCAGGCAGGAATGCGGGGAGTGCAGGCGTGAGCGCGAACGGCGCCGTCTCGTCATCGCAGGTCCAGATGACCCGCGCGTGCACTCTGCGAAGTTTCGGTGTGCTCCAGGGGTGTTCCCAAACAACGACGTGAAGTATGAGGTGAACAAGCTCCGAGCGTCGCAGTATGCCCGACTGCGCGAGAAGCCGATGGTGCACATCCCTGCACGCGACACCCCCACGCCCGACGCGCTGCGCGAGCGGCCGGATTTGCCGAGCCAAAAAATGGCTTGGCTGCAGCGCCACGACAAGGAGAGCGGGGACCTGTACGGGTTGTTGCCCATCGCGGAGGGGATGCCCGTGGCCCTCACAGATCACATAGATCGCAGCGAGGACAAGTATCTGCTCCGCGGACGCGTTGGGACCGTGCACTCATGGGTGTGCGACGGCGAGGAAGGAGCGGGTCGCGTGTCCCGAGGAGGGGAGACCATCTTGCAGAAGACGCCGAAAGTGATATTCGTCCTTTTCGACGAGGGTCTCGATGATGCAGGGAACGTAATCCCATGCAAGTGGACGATCCCGGGGCTCCGAACGCCGGGCCTGCACCCAGTGAGCCCGCAGAGAAAAGACTGGTTCGTGGACAAAGGCCGGCCGTATCCGCGTCTGAAAGTGAAGCGGCGGCAGTTTCCTTTGGCCCCAGCGTTTGGAGTGACAGCCCACTCAGCTCAGGGCCAGACTTTCAAACAAGGTATCATCGTGGATCTGAGGATTGGCGGGGGCACGTCGCCGTTGTCGAGTTATGTTGCTCTGACGCGCGTGCGGCGCCGCGAAGACATGCTGATATTTCGGCCTTTCGACCGCGCGCCGTACACTCAGAAAGAGCGGAAGGGCCCCGGATTGCTCTTGCAGTCGTTGCGGGGAGATCCCATGGATTGGGATGCAATCGAGAAGGAGTTCATGCCTGCAGGGAAGTGCGCACTGTGCTCGGCGGTGAAGTACAAGAACCAGTTCGCTCTCGGGCAGTGGAGCCGGGACGACGGTCTCCGCGTGTGCAAGTTGTGCTTGGAAGGCAAAAAGAGCATTGGCACGCCGTGGCAGTGTATGGAGTGCTATCTGTGGAAGGGTCAGGATGCTTTCCACACGTCGCAGCACCACAGCTCCAAGCTGACGTCACGGCGTTGCGTGGACTGTCCCGAAAGGCGAAAGTGTTACGTATGCGAGAAGCGGAAGTACGAGGATGCGTTCGTGGATTTGCAATGGGAGAAGGCAGGGAACGCCCGATGCAAAGGGGGAATGTGCCGGGACTGCGAAGAGGCGAAGAGGCACCTGAAGTGTTCGCGCTGCGGCGAGGAGAAGTTACTAGATCAATTTGCCAAAGCGGATATTATTATCAACGAGGAACCCACATGCAAGGCTTGTAAGAAGTTGCAGAGAGAGGAAGAGAAGGCCCGTGCCAAAGAGGCAAAAGAGCGTGTGTGTTCCAACTGCGGCATTCCAAAAAGGAGGACCGAGTTTTCAGAGTACATGTTGACTCACTCGCCGAAAGCGTCGATGCAATGTACGCAATGCGTCAACGCTGCAGCGTCAGTGCGGGACAAGTCGGCGAGGAGGGACATGAAAACCTGTGTGGTGTGCAATGTGGCGCAGCGGCAAGATTGTTTTTCAGATCGGATGTGGGACGGCGTGGCTGACCTGCATCGCAAGTGCAACCAGTGCGTCGCTGCAGGGCGGGACAAGTCGGCGAGGAAGGACATGAAAACTTGTGTGGTGTGCAAGTTGGCGCAGCGGCATGAGTGTTTTTCACATCGGATGTGGGGCGGCGTGGCTGATCTGCATCGTAAGTGCAAGCAGTGCGTCGCTGCAAGGAGGGAGGACGTGAGAACTTGTGTAGTGTGCGAGAAGGCGCAACAGAAAGAGCGTTTCTCTGAAAAGATGTGGGCCGGCAGGGCAGATCATCACCGCAAGTGCAATCGATGCATCGACGACGCGAAGCTGCAGCGCGGGAAGTGGAAATGCGTTGAATGCAAAGGCGCTTTTGGCAGAGAAGAATACAGCAGCTGGTTGGCCGGGCGAACGACGCAGAAGGCGGATGGGAAGCAAAGGTGCAACGTGTGCTGTGCTGGCCAAGAGCGCAAAAGGAGGGAAGTCGCTGAACGGAGCCATAAGTCAGTGACGAAAGTGCGTAAGACTGGATAGCTGTTGCCACAGCCGACAAGAGGGACGATGGACGCACGTGCCAGTCGTGGCCAGGTGGGGAATGTGAGTCGTTTTTGGGTGAGAAATCGTGGGGTCGTGGGTGCCAAGAACAGAGCCCAAAGGCTTGGGGCGTCGAGAGGGGGTGGAGGGGAGGCGGGGGGGGGAGGGATATTGGTCGATTTTGGGCGAGAAATCGTGGGGTCGGGGGTCCCAAGAACAGAGCCCAAAGGCCTGGGGGTGTCGTGGGAAGGGGGGGGGGGGGGGGGCGGGTGGGTGGTGCCAGGTGGGGGCGAGGTGGGTGGGTGTGGGTCGTTTTTAGGCGAGAAATCGTAGGGTCGGGGGTCCCAAGAACGGAGCCCAGAGGCCTGGGGGTCTCGAGGGGAGGTTGTGGCCAAGTGGGGGGTGTGGGTCGTTTTAGAGCGAGAAATCGTTGGGTCGAGGGTCCCAAGAACAGAGCCCAGAGGCCTGGGGGTGTCGCGGAGGGGGTGGTGGCCAGGTGGGGGGCATGAGTGAGTTTGGGCGAGAAATCGCGGGGTCGCGGGTCGCAAGAACAGAGCCCAAAGGCTTGGGGGTGTCGAGGGAGGGTGCAGGCCAGGGAGGGTCCAGGTGAGGGGCACGGTGAGGGTATCGGTTGATTTTGGGCGAGAAACCGCGGGGTCGGGGGTCCCAAGAACAGAGTTCAGAGGCCTGGAGATGCCAGGCCAGGAGGGGGTCCAGCTGAGAGACCAGGTGGGGGGAGGGGGGGGGGGGTACGGTCGATTTGGGCGAGAAATCGTGGGGTCGGGAACCCCAGAAAAAAGCCCCGAGCCTGGGGATGAACGATGGCGGTGGAGGCGAGGTGGCGGGATGGGAAGGGGCGGGGGGGGGGCGGGGGGAAGGGTACGTCGTTTTTGGGCGAGAAATCGTGGGGTCGGGGGTCTCAAGAACAGAGCCCAGAGGCCTGGGGATGTCGAGGGAGGGTGCAGGCGAGGTGGGGGGCGAAGTGGGGGCTATCGGCTGTTTTTGGTCCAGAAATCGTTGGGTCGGGTGTCTCAAGAACAGACCCCAAACGCCTGGGGATGTGGAGGGGAGGGGGGGGGG